AGTGAAAAGTGGGTGCTACATTGTACGGTGGCATTAAGTGCCGTAATTGTCTAACCCTTTAGGGATAAAAGGCGTGATGTTATGTTATATTTATCTCATCTTCTATTTCAATGATGATAATGAGTTATTTGACCTTACTGGTGATTTCAGTCATCACCTTGTCAACCAATTGCAGTTAAATTAAGATTTATTTTAAAGTTAACAGCTCATAAACAATTATCCGTATTGTTGGTTCATTATAGCTGTATTGTTCTGTCTATTACTATCTTTATGAAATTGAACGAATATAATTTAATAAATTGAACCAAATCATGAAATGTACTTATTGGATTTCATTGTCAGAGTAACACCATTTTTGTGTGTTTATTATTTACTAGCTTCTGCCCGCGACTTCGTACGCGCAATCCCGTTCTTTCCCGTTCCCGTTCGTGATTTTCGGTAAAAGTAAAAAAAAAAATTTTAGGTAAAAAGTATCCTATGTCCGTCTCCTGGTTCTAAGCTACCTCCCTGCCAATTTTCATCCAAATCGATTTAGTCGTTCTCGAGTAATAAGTAGTGTAACTAACACAACTTTCTTTTATATATATAGATAGCATGGAGTCTGCCATTTTATCCGGTTGTGTATGATATAGGGTTCACCTCAGTTAGGTACCTACATGGGATGGGACATAGTGATGGGTCATGGGATCACAAAATATGGTGTTACATTGGAACTGGGTATCCACCTCTGCTTACTCCCTTAGCGAATAAAAGTTACGATAGTATGAATAGTAATCTTGACAAATGAACGACAACGTCAATTTCCAATTCTTAAGTGTCATTATCAAGTAATATTCGATTACAACAATAGGCTATTTGGATACATTGTTTTGAACAAAGCCAAGCGAAATTCAACCTTATAGATGTGATGTTAAAGATGTGAATACTCATATGACAAGACTGCTTATCTTAAAATGTGATTGAAGGATGTAGGTTACTAGAAATACGTACTATAACTGATAGTGGGGTTAATGACCTTCTAATAGTATGAATGTAAAGTTACTTTGTATGTTTCATACTATCTAATGTATCAGCTCAAGGAAAAAATTAAAAAATAATTTAAGTGTCGGAGAGCCATGCTTCGGCACGAATGGGCCGGCTCGACCGGAGTGATACCACGGCCTCACAGAAAACCGACGCGAAGCAACGCTTGCGTTGTGTTTCGTCGTGTGAGTGAGGTTACCGGAGGCCCAATTACCCTCAGTTACCTTCCCCAGTCTCCCCAATTCCTGAATCCCCAACGACCCTCAAGCTTCTAATCCCCAAAAGGTCGGTAAGGCACTTGTAACGCCTCTGGTGTTCCAGGTGTCCATAGGCGACGCCGATTGCTTACCATCAGGTGATCCGTCTGCTCGTTGATCGGCTTATGCCATAAAAAAAGTAAAGCTGGATCCGAAGGTCACGTTTATATCAGCAACTGAGTCTAGATTAAATCCTAATAAGTTCCCTTCATCCACTAGGCACCAGTCCTCAAATCGTTAACTCCCAGAAGACTGGTAACGCACTTGTAACTCTACTGGTGTTCCAGGTGTTCATGGACGACGCTAATTACTTGATATTAGATCCATCAGCTCGTTTGACTCGTAATAAGAAAAAGCAAAATGTTACTGATTCATATTTCATGTGATTTTAGCCTTATAATGTAGTTAAAGGTACATGAATACTGTATTTTGAATAGCAATTAACATACATACAAGTTAAAGCTGAGCCGACTTGATATCACAATTTTGCATAAGCCAAGGTCGATTCGACTGATGTTGACGCTCCCATCAGGCAAATGGGGTCAGGGTACTTGTCACTTTTTATCATAATAATATTGCTTCGGGGTTAGGTTCGTTATGGATGTCTATTTGTTTTAGGTAAATATTGGTTACAATGGGTCATCGTTAGGATAGCAGATTTTTTTAATTGTTGATCTTATGGTTAATATGCTATGCTAAATAGTGCCTATTATTTAAACTCCTTGATATTAGTTGTCATCATCAACAGTCCAACACCTGGACCATGAGATGAGGATTGACCATAATCTGGCACCTGGGATTGGAGTTTAGATCGATTCAGAGATGATGGATTAAGGTCGTTTAAAAAAACATTTTTTTATGGCATAAGCCGGTAAACGAGCAGACGGATCACCTGATGGTAAGCAATCGGCGTCGCCCATTAACACCTGTAACAGAGGCGTTAGAAGTGCGTTACCGGCCTTTTGGGATTAGGAGTTTGAGGATCGTTGGGGATTCAGAAATTGGGGAGATAGGGAAGGGGAGGGTAATTGGGCCTCCGGTAGCCTCACTCACACGACGAAACACAACGCAAGCGTTGCTTCACGTCGGTTTTCTGTGAGGCCGTGGTATCACTCCGGTCGAGCCGGCCCATTCGTGCCGAAACATGGCTCTCCCACACTTAAATGTGTAATCAATGTTACATATAGTCGAATTGGGAACCTCTTCCTTTTTTTTGAAGTCTGTTGATAAATTTCGGCCGTTAAAGTGTCAAAACTGACTGAAACCTCCTGCTTAATAAACAGGCGTACTAATAATACATATATTGATGAATGAAATCAAAATTCAATTCTATTAGATACATGCATTCAGTACAATGATTTAAAAAATGATACCTCTAACACGTAGAACTGTCACCTTCATGTTTTAAAAAAATTTTTAGGAATTGTTTGTTCTGGTTCATCAATTCAATTCTACAAAGAATGCGACAGATATCCACGAGAATGCGTCAGAAAATTGTATCTTAAAATTTAGGGAATAAAACCTATTGTATAATATCCACAACCCAGCGCTTTATCAATATTTTATGGATGCCATGGGTACTGTAACATTGATTATACAAAAGAATGCCAGGGATATAATAGCTATGGGTATTATTTGGGAGATAAAACATTTTTATGGGACTATCATCCCGCAGTGTTTTATTTCTTCTTGAGGTCTCAATGTTACTGACCTTGGGCTTCTTTTGAATCCAATTCCGATTAATCGACATTTGTATTGTGAAATTTTGTACTCTTGAGTTACAACACTAGCGCCCATTGCATCTGTATTGCGTGGATATTGAAGGAACTAAATGGTATTGAGTTTGGCTTTATATTCCGTACTCTGAATGCTATATTAACAGCTATGATAGGGGTTGTATAGTGTTGACATTGAATAATTATTGAGATTTTATTGGATTGCAATAGCATTGACATTGGACTATATTATTGGACCATATTAGGTTACGTGACGTTTGTCAGTGGGATGCAAGTTACTTCTTAACTCGTCGAGTACCGGTTTTATAGACACAATTAAAGAACAATAGGTCGCGGTCACCGGTGACCGCTTGGTATTTGACAGTTTAATCGGTTTAAGTACTTACACCATAAAAAATTAGACATGACACAAAAACTGTTACAGATCTCCCAAGTTGTGTTATGAGTCCCATATAGATTCAATACGAAATATGATTGTTGATTTTAATAGGTATTAATATAGGGGATATTTTTTTAGAGGTCGCCGTCGCCGATCACATTGCTGAGGGCACGGCGGGGCTTAGCCCACGCAGGTGACGCAGGGCATGCCCCTACCGTGTGTTCCACCGTGTTCATTCAAACAGGGGAATTCAATAAGAGATCACGAAACGATTGAGATGTCTTCGATTCGATTCACGAAACAAGAGTGAGAGACGAGAGAGAGAGAAGAGAGAGAGAGAGAGAAGAGAGAGAGAGAGAGAACAATATTTCACCAACAAAATTCTAGTCAGTCAGTCTAGATTCTAGAAAAAGATACCTACAAACTAATAATTATATAAAAAACAAAGATAAAGAATCGCAGTTTTTGATACTGAATAACTTCATATTTTCCTTGATGTCTAAGCCTTTCAACAAAATTAGCTACACAATGCTTAATAAAACATTTGATTTGTTCATACAACGATAACGTTTATGTTGACATTTAGATAAAAAAATAACTAACTTTATGTAAGTGGCAATTTACGTTGTAGTGACTAGGAACAGTTAGGTACGTACAGACATACAATATAACTTATGTATGTAGCTAAAGAAACTACCGAGTGCTACTTGCTACAAACTTTGGTTGTTTATTTACGTTTTTGATCATATTTGCGTGCGTTACTCTACGTGCCTAAGCGACCAGGTTCTTTGTTTTTTTTTTAAAAAACGTCCTTCACTAGAATTTTCTCCTGTAGCTTTATACAAGAAAATAAAAAAATACGTGTCTAATATTTTTTCATTGTCTAACTGACGGACTAATTCGATTTTTAAATTTCTTACTCTGGCAACTACCCAATTACACAAAGGATCCACTTTAATTGATATAAATCTAATCAAAACAGGCGACATCAATTAAGGATTATGTTTATGACATAATAAGTTCCTTTATCCTCAAATGCGTCAATGAATATATCATCACAATAAATACATGGAAATCAATAATCTGACTGCATAAAGATTAAATTTTACGCATTTACGCGTGTAGATAAAAATATAATATAACTGGAATAATTATGTCATTTGGGTACTGATAGGTACTGGTTGCGCTTATGCATGTCAATGCAGTCCTCCTTAACTGCTCGATCGATTTTGATAAAACTTTTTCTCACGTATAACTCTGATAGGCTGAGATTATAAGGGGTCTATTGTAAAGGTACACGTATTTGTACTTAATGTGCGGTAAATAAATAAGGAAGTGTTGTAAAAATCTTATAATATAGGACTATCTTTATAGAATATTGTCTGTAACCATTTTTCCTCTACAAGACAGTTAGAATTTTGACCCTACTTAAATGGATTTACCATCATCTCCATATCAGAAATAAGTCGTTCATTGAACATGGCTTATAATAATAACAAAAATTATGTTTTAACAGATTGACGAAAATCCAGCCAATCAACACATCACGATTGATGCGAGAGAAGAGTGATGAACCAATAAGAAGGCGACAAAACAGAAAACAATATGTCAAACAATATGACAGACAGACTGAAATACCAAGAGGACGAGGATGCTGAGAGTGCTGAGAAACTCAACCCAACAGTGGAACGGACTTTCGAAGATGCATTTGAACAAACAGGTATGTAACAGCACTTCAAAGTATACCAAAACCCAATGAGGACTACCCACAGAGTATAAAATTCTGAGGCCTTTTTTTAAGGGGGGAAAATCATCGAATGCGTGCTCCCACCTGCGTGAGGCGGGAGGGAGTGTCAGACTCTTACTGACTAAAAACCACCCCGTTCCTTCTACTGCACGTCGAGCCGGAGCACCGGTTATCCGTTAGGTTCTCCGCGACAATTTTAAGGCCTACGAAGCTACCATTATTGTGCTCAAAAGAATATCGCGTCCAAATAGCATCAGACTAAATTGACATTCAGTTTTGACAGCTCCTGTGATTGGACAATTATTTTTTTATTTTATATAATGGTTCAAAATTAAACCAAACTTTACGCTGACAAATAGTTAGAACCTCATTTTACGTTAGCACCATCTAGTGGGTACAAAAAAACATTAGTCCTCATTACTGTCATAATATTTCTATTATGTACCTTTGAAATTTTAAGAATACAGATTTTGCAACTTGCAACTATTTGACAATAATTCAGTTATAATTATTTGACATAAGGATGGAGTAAACAGCAAAAATATGCTTACAAAATAAATACTGTTCTCTGCAGTTGCTGTTACTTTTGTTATAAACGCAATAGAGTCGTAAATCTATTGATACAACTGTAAATTAAGTAGTATTAAGTTTTAGTTGTATCTGTATGTGGTTCAAATGTAGTCTAAGGTCGAGTTCCATTCACCCTATTTAGTATTTAGTTGCACCGATTATTATCGCTTGTAAATGCCATTAATGTGCGGTGTGCTTGTTTTCATGTTCTTATCTACAATACTAGGCAATAATTCTGGCTTCCCATAACCAGTGACTGGCAGATAACACAGAAATACAATAATAATCCTTATCAGGATCATCGGCAATATAGGCATATATACATAAAAGGTTTTTGCCATAATAACTATCCACGCTCAGCAGGTGGATCGGAAACAGCCGTTTGAAAGGTGTAGATGTATCAGAGAGCGCTGCTGTCCGGTCTCTGTTCAGGATATGTAGTTCCTAGAGTCGGCTTTTTAATATCCACTGGGGAGTAGGCATGCTGATAAGTATATTCTTTTCTGCTGTCATTCAACGACTACTAAGAAAGAAAGATAGAAAAATCTATATTTCACACGTTAAAAACCAAATTACAAGTACCGATTATAGTGTTCATTTATTAGCATGGTACAGATAGATACGTACAATGTTCGTGTCTCAAGTCTGCAGTTCAGTATGTGTAAGATAGAGTCTTCCGCTGCACGGGTCTGCAGACGGCGAGCATGGGTGCCTCGCCGCACGACCAGAAACAGACACGAACGTACGGCGCGTCGCGTTCTGCGCCAAAGAGCCATCAAACCACCACGGATAGGGGCCAATAGGGCTGATGCCGATACGGAGCCGCGGGCAACTTAAGGGGTTGCCAGGGCCCCGGCTCGAAGGGCAGGATTAGGAACGGGGTGGTTTTTAGTCATTAAGAGTCTGACACTCCCTCCCGCCTTGCCCGGGCGGGAGAAGTCATTCGATGCTTTTCCCCACTTAAAAATAAAAAAGGGCCTTGCGCTGGTATTCTACTGGTGCATTAAGTGCTGAACTGAAAGATTAAACTATTTTCCATTTACTTTCTCAGGACACGGCAGACTGAACCACCTGGTGCTGTTCACCAGCGGTCTGATAATGCTGAACGTCTCCATGGAGTCTGTAGGCATGAGCTATGCCATCACAGCAGCAGAGTGCGAGCTGCAACTCACCAGCAAAGACAAAGGGCTGGTTAACGCTGCTGCTTTTATTGGTAAGATATAAAAGTGTAGTATAAGATCTTTGATGAATCTTAGACTCTGTGTATGGCGGTATGTTCTTCTTTTATCGCAAAGGAACTAGAAGATGGTGGACCAAAAGAATAAGTATCAATAGACGAACAAACCTACCGACACAGCCCCCGAGCCGATCGAGTGAACCTTTGCACAAAACTTGGGACCTTTCTCTAATGAATTAATAATTCCAGGTACTCAAAATCTGTAAGACTATTCGGTCAGTCATAGATTGCATAATAATATAAAAAACTTGACACAAAATACACAATCACCTACATAATCATGTAACAACGAAATATTTACATATTGTCGACGCATTATGATAATTACAATGCACGTACTATATACTGATTCATATCATTATCTTATACTTACATTCATAGTTAAATATAAGGTTTAGGTTTATTATAAAGATATAACTGTCTATCAGCGATAAAATTGTTCAAAAAGATTAGTTATGGGCACTGGTACTAACTGATATACCAGTTTGAATATTAATGTCAATAAACTGATATATCTAATAATAGAGGAGATAAAAATATAATGAAACTACTATGATGTATTGGTGATTAAATACACGTGGAGAGTTCCTGATTAGGTTTGCCACGAAATAAGAGTGCGAGATAGTAATTTCTGCGAAATATAAAAATGGGTTTATGGGAATTCCGTATATAGAAGAACTGGTTAAATTCTGACACTAATTTGACGATTTAACTAATTTGGTTTTTTTATGGCATAAGCCGGTAAACAGGCAGACGGATCACCTGATGGTAAGCAATTGGCGTCGCCCATGGACACCTGGATCACCAGAGGCGTACGCATTCCTATACATATTTCCTTCATTTATATCAGTAAATAAGAATCGAATACCATTTTTAAACTTGTGTTGGACATACCAACTTACAACAACCAAGATTTAAATGTGGGAGAGCCATGCTTCGGCACGAATGGGCCGGCTGGACCGGAGTGATACCACGGCCGAGCAGAAAACCAACGTGAAGCAACGCTTGCTTTGTGTTTTGTCGTGTGAGTGATGTTACCGGAGGCCCAATTACCCTCCCCTTCCTCAATCTACCCAATCCCTGAATCCCCAACGATCCACAAACTCCTAATCCCCAAAAGGCCGGTAACACACTTGTACGCCTCTGGTGTTCCAAGTGTCCATGGGCGACGCCGATTGCTTACCATCAGATGATCCGTCTGCTCGTTTACCGGCTTATGCCATAAAAAAATAATCAGATTATCGAACATTTAAGTGTAACCTTTGTGTCTCATCTGTACGTTATTAATCTGCCTTTGAATCCACAAACCTCCCATTACTTCTTTTTTCATAGTTTTATTTCTATTATCACAGGTATAATCAGTACCTCCTTCCTATGGGGTTACCTGGGAGACAGGATCGGTCGCCGTGCAGTGATGTTGCCCGCTATCCTTTTGTCTGCCGTCTTCTCCATCATCTCCTCGTTCGCCACCAACGTCTGGATGCTCCTGGTCTTCAGATTCCTCACTGGATGCTTGTAAGTAGTAGACCTGTTTGTATTTTACACTATTGAACGTTTATTTGTCTACAAAAGGTATAGTTCGTACGTTGTTATACTGTTACGGCTTGTGTTCCCCTGTTCTGTACCTATACGTAATTATATTAGGGTTCAAAGTTCTCAAAGAAGAATTTTAAATGTCTTTTGAAAAGTCAAAGTCAAAGCATTTATTTCAATTAAACCATAGTTAGGTACTTTTGAAACGTCAACAAATACAAAATAAATAATAGTCTGTCAGTCAGTCCATCAGTGAAAAGTAGATAGAGTCGATTGGAATATCAATAAGTTCACAGAAGTTCATTTTGACTCAATTTTTTTAATTGCTCATTTGCTTATATAGAATTTATTGACATATCCCACAGCATGTAAAATTTATTAATAATAATTGAAACGGTAAACGAGAAAGTGATCAGAAAAATGACGTAGAAATAGAAACACTTTATATTTAAAACTACTGATTCAAATTTCTTCTTTAACACAAATAAGAAATGTGCATTAAAAGTAGAATACACAGTACCTAATATAAAAAGTATCGGCTCGATGCACGTATTAAGTACTATCTAAGTTATTATCACGACTATTAAAGTTACAATGTCATTTACCTATGGTTGCGTTGAAAAAGTCATCTGCATTGTTTATTATAATTTCTATATGTTTGCACTTGTACTGCAAATGGACAAGGTATATTATACTTTTGCGAAACAAATTAATTCACATATTTTTACCAATGGCTTCGATCGCGTTCTAAAATGTGATCTTTTTTTAAGGGGGGAAATCATCAATGGCTGCTCTCGCCTAAGTGAGGCGGGAGGGAGTGTCAGACTCTTATTTTCCCTAGTCCCCGTCTCCCGAAGCCCTGAATCCTCCACAATTCTTAAATTCCCAATCCCTAAAGGCCGGTAACGTACTTGTAACGCCTTGGTGTTTCGAGTGTCCATGGGCGGCGCCGATTGCTTACCATGAGATGATCCGTCAGCTCGTTTACCGGCTCATGCTATAAAAAAAAATATTTTAATAGGTATCTTGTTAAATAGTGAAAAGTGGGTGTTACATTGTACAGTGGCATTAAGTGCTGTAATGTGCACCTCTGACTATCCTTTCGGGGGTAAAAGGCGTGATGGTATGTATGTATCTTGTTATCATGACCCTAATATGTAAGATTATGAATACTGACTTAGTAACTAATGAAATTAAGCAACATTTTAATCGTGAACGGTAAACTAATGTGATTAGCAACAATTTGTTTTAATAGTTAAACTTATTATATAGGTTAATGACCTAGGTTTAATGTCACAGTAATAAAGTATCATGTTGATTATTTAATTTCAATTAATTAAATGATATAGTACTATTTATTGGACTGCCTCGTTGGCCGAGTGGCCGCAAGTGCGACTGCAAGGGGTCTTGGGTTCGATTCCAGGGTCGGGCAAAGTATTACTGGGTTTTTTAAATACGTCTCAGTAGTAGCACGGAGTCTGAAAATGTGCCCGGTATGTGACAATAGGCTCACCCCCTATTACATGGGACTCATAACATAAATAGTGAAAAGTCGGTGTTACATTGTACACATATGTGCACCTCTGCCTACCCTTTCGGAGATAAAAAAGGCTTGGATGTTATGTTATGTATGAATGACTGTCTTATTGGTGGCGACCATTGGCCAAGAGAGTATGATTTTCGGGATGAGCAAGGTGGTTTTGGGATATGGGCGGCAGCAATCGTTACCATTTTGTTCCACGCGCGTTATTCGAGGTAGGAAATCAGGCTCTAAGGGTTACTTAACATGTCTTAACATGTCGCAAGTTCGATTTCCGCACGGAACAACTCTTTGTGTGATCCACAGATTGTTGTTCCGGGTCTGGGTGTCATGTGTATGTGAGCTTGTATGTTTGTAAACGCACTCACGACACAGAAGAAAATACTAGTGTGGGTCTAAAACAATTATTTCGGATTCTTCAATCGGCCTAGCCGTAAATTTTTCATGCGTTTCTTAATTTTAATTTATTAGGTACCTAATATATTCAAGTATAACTATTAATATCTAAAATTAAATTTGCATGTCAATAAATCAATATATTCATGTCAATACGAAATAGTTTCGAAAATAACCAGTTTTATATCAGTTTGGCGGTCAACTACAACCAGTTTTGTTCAAGTGCATATTTTTATCTGACTCCAAAAGGTCACTGATCTTGCTTAACTTTCATGTGTTAAGGTAGGTCAATACTCAAATGCTATTTATGATACACTTGTAAGACTGGTCTGTTTTTGGATCTAAGAATTGGGTACCTAGGTTTTTCGAGCTAATATTATTTTTTTGCACTCATAATCGACAAGCCGTGGCGCAATTGGGCCTCCTAACCTCACTCATACGACAAAACACAACGCAAGCGTTCTTTCACGTCGGTTTTTCTGTGAGGCCGTGCTATCACTCCAGTCGAGCCGGTCTATTCGTGCCGAAACATAGCTCTATCACACTTAAAAAACCACTTAATCTTTATCTTTATATATATAATTCTTCTGTGAGTGTGTATGTCATTGAACGACTGGACCGATTTTGATGAAATTTTTTGCGTGTGTTCAAGGGGATCTGGGAATGGTTTAGATTCACAAATCAGCCCGGCAGATGGCGCTGCAGTCGATGTTTAGGTTATTTATCCTAAACAGCTGAACTAATTTGAATGAATTTTTGTTTATAGGTACATTCAAGTGGATATGCAGGGCAACGTCTGTTGGGTCCGCTAGTATTATATATACTTAAAAGAAACCTATACAATTCCAGGATATCAGCGTCCAGTGCGACAGTGTACGCGTACCTGGGAGAGATGCATGCGAACTCCAAGCGAGCTGCAGCCATAGCGTGGAGCTCGGCCTTCATCTCCTTCTCCTTCATCATATTGCCAGGTTTGTTCTCATATTTGTTTGTAAGACTATCAGAATGAGAGTTACTTTTTTGTATAACATTTTTTGTACTACTTTGATTGGTAGTAGCCCCAAAACAAATATATTTTGTAGTCGCAAGCAATGCTTAATAGTGTCATCATTCAGAAATTATTGATTCTAAAAACATTTTACTTATTGATGCCATTAAAAGGACCTAAACATTTATTAACCAGAAGCTGATGATCTTCAAAATTCTTCAGAAAACATTCGACTGTTATTTTGGAATCAAGCTTTGGCTCGCCTCATCCGGGCGGGAGAAGACATTAAATGATATTCTTACTCAAAAAAACGTACGATGGCCAGCAGCCGGCTTTTCTTTCCTGTCAATTTTCTCTATCACATCTTCAACTTTATTGTATAGGCTTTAGACTTAGAAATCTAATGAATAAATTTGACAGATTGGTGTAAGGTGAAACGCTGGCCACTGTACTTTAAGAATCACGCCAACAACAACTAGTCTAATTAGAGCCAGTCTCAATATTATTAACCTAGATATTTCATCCAAAATACTAAGTGCTCTAAATATTGTGTATCTAGGCAGATAGGAGTAAACTTGTATAATAAACTAGAATAATTTTATCTCATTAATACTTAGAGTTAACTTGAACTCCTAGTTATCTCAGAATGTACTATTAACTGTTATTACTTAACTTAATGATAATTTATTTATTTGTTTCAATTATATTTTTATGTCAATAGTTATACAGTTTATTGATGCTATTAAATTTATTTTCCTTACTTACTGCGTTTGAAAAAGTATTGTGCGAAAGTACATAAGCATATTTAATTTGCAAGATTACTATTACTACTTAAAATGATGACATTGACTGTTTAATTCACCACCAAAAAATACCACAATTAAAAAAAATAGGTCAATGACTTGCACAAATGATACTTGCTCACACGACACTTGATTTCAAGCGCGATTGCAGTACAACGGGTCTGTTCGACTCGTGGCTAGGTAAACAAAAATTGCTTACCTACATGTCCACTTCTAAAATTGGATATTTATTTTCGGACTTTTTTTTTAAGGGGGGAAAATCATCGAATGACTGCTCCCGCCTGGGTGAGGCGGGAGGGAGTGTCAGACTGACTAAAAACTACCCCGATCCTTCTCCTGCACGTCGAGCCGGAGCCCCGGTTACCCGTTTCCGGATTAGGCTTGTCCGGCTTGTCCCATATATTACATTGGTGTCATAACATAGTCTATAGTAACTGGACTTAGACCCCTTTTGGACAATAAAAGATGTGATGATATAGACAATAGGCTCACCCCCTATTACATGGGACTCATAACATAAATAGTGAAAAGTGGGTGTTTCATTGTACAGTAGTATTAAGTACCGTCTAATGTGCACTTCTGTATACCACTTCGGGGATAAAATGGTGTGATGTTATGTTATGAAAGATATGATGACGATAAATTTCCACTTTAGAAATCCACACTCAAATCACTATTCTCCCATTCCAGGTCTAGCCTGGATAATAATACCAGGAAAATGGTCATTCAGCTTCGCTTACATGGAGATAGTCCCTTGGCGGGCCTTCGTCTGGTCGTGGTGTGCCCCTGGGTTGGCTGCGGCAGTCATCCTGCTGTTCCTACCTGAAAGTCCTCGGTACCTCCTCGCTGCTAAGGGCCCTGATGCTGCCTTGCCAGTCTTGGCTATGATGTACGCCTGGAACAATAAAGGGCAGACCATGGAAGATTTTCCTGTGAGTATCAAAGTATTTTATTGATGTAACTTCCTAATGAGCGTATTCCCTTTTAAAAGGCCGGCAGCGCACCTGTGACTCCTCTGGTGTTGCGGGTGTCCATGGGCGGCGCTGATCGCTTACTATCAGGTGAACCGTCTGCTCGTTTGCCTACTATTCCATAAAAAAATGAACTGACGGTGGGTTTTTTAGGAGGCAAATGAGCAGACGAATCACCTGATGGAAAGCGATCAGCACCGCCCATGGACAACACCAAAGGAGTCACAATGAACTGCGTTGCCATCTTCTAAAGACGGAATACGCTCTAATTTAAAATTAGTGTAATAAACTTTGACTGCCTCGTTGGCCGAGTGGTCGCAAGTGCGACTGCCGGGCAAGGGATCTCGGGTTCGATTCCCGGGTCGGGCAAAGTATTACTGGGTTTTTAAAAAAATCTCAATAGTAGCACGAAGTCTGGAATGGTGCCCGGTATATGGCAATAGGCTCACCCCCTATTACATGGGACTCATAACATAAATAGTGAAAAGTGGGTGTTACATTGTACAGTGACATAATGTGCACCTCTGCCTACCCCTTCGGGGATAAAAGGCTTGATGTTATGTTAATAATAAACTTTATAATATACGTTCCAGGTGAAGCAGCTGATCACAGGCAGTGAGGAGGTGAAGGTGGGAGGGTTTGCAGGTGCTGTGAAGAATGTTGGCCTCATGTTCAAGGTGCCGCTCTTGCGCTGTGTCTTTATATCACACATCTCCATGTTTGCAGTGTTCATGGTGTAAGTTGTATATGAAATTATTTTCTTGTATTTTTTCCACTAAGGATTGCTTAAGACTTTGACTGCCAATAAAAAACTGTTGAAGGTAAATGCTCCGCTAACGCCGGTCACCGGTACCCCCATGGCGTTTAACGTGTTAAAGTTAAGCAGTCACTGTAACCTAGGTATACTTGCTTGCATTACTAGATGGTGTACATGCACTGCAAGTGCCAATTATTGTTTCGTTCTTCTTGTCACTGCCTAAAATTGAATGACAACGATAAAGAATAGAAGGTTGATCTTTTCCTATTTATAACTCTATCTATAGTTAAGTTACAAAAAAATACTTAAAAGAGTAACGAATGGACTTTCTTGCTCGTTCTTCTACATTTTGGAATGAGCACCTAGCTTCACTGACGGACAGACTGACAGACTGTTATTTATTTTGTATTTATTGACATTGCAAAAGTACTAAATTATGGTTGAATTGATATAAATGCTTTGACTTTGACTTTGCTATGCTAGTAATCACTAGGATAGCTTAACCCCAAGAATACACTAGGGAACAAATATCCCAAGACTTCTATCGGTGACATGTCGAACGAAGCCGGCAGATGTCGCCTGACATAACATCACGCCTTTTATCCCTGAAGGGGTAGGCAGAGGTGCACATAGAAGTAACACCCACTTTTCACTATTTATGTTATGAGTCCCATGTAATAGGGGGTGAGCCTATTGCCATATACCGGGCACATTTCCAGACTCCGTGCTACTACTGAGATTTTTTAAAAAACCCCAGTAATACTTTGCCCGACCCGGGAATCGAACCCGAGACCCCTAGCCCGGCAGTCGCACTTGCGACCACTCGGCCAATGAGGCAGTCAGTATGTCGCCTGACATATATGTAATTAGTAATTACGGTGACAACGCTCAACTTATGTCCGTCCGTATAGTGCCGTTGATGTTGCCAGACATTTCGACCGACATCGCTGGCGATATATAGATTTTATATACTACAATATAGTAAGGGGGTGTAAAAGCCAGGGCTTCGCAGAAAAAAGACTAAACAAATACTGAGCAAGAAATAAATTTAATAAAGTATAACTCAACGAGTACAGTACAGCAAGTAAAATAATTAGTGTCGGTATATGTCTACGCCAGTACTCAGTAAACACAGTATCAACACGACAACACTTTCGAACGAACCACCGCACGGAGGTGAGGGGCGAGAGAACCATGCGCCAGCTCCGTCAGTGCTGCCACCGCGCCGACAGTCGGAAATCATAGGAGCTACTGCGCATACGCGTTCCGTCTTCGCACACAATGTACACGCGCTCCGCTATAATAATCTAATTCAATAACCTCAACTTACAAAACAAAGAGGTTTCGTCAATTAGTCTTTTTATTCCGCATCAATCGTAAGTTGTTACTTACAAACTGTGTTTGTATATTTTATATTATGTATTTTTTATATTATGTACTGTTGTACATAATATAAATATATAATATTTTTTATATTATGTACTGTTGTACATAATATAAAAAATAAATAATTAAACTACCTAATAGCTAAGATTATACCAAGCACATGTCGTTGCTATGGCAAATCCAACAGGCGCTCATACAGGGAGCTATCTTACTTACTAAACTAGTGATGTTTATACATGTAACATAAAGTTAATAGAGAAAATTCTAATTTACATTTATACATAGAATTTAATGTGGGTTAGCTATAAGGTGTTTTAATTTTCCAGATCGAGTGGTCTTTACGTGTGGGTCCCAGATATACTAAACAGTATTTTGAGAAGTAATACCAATAAGAGTATCACGATATGTCAGATTATACATGACAAATTCGTAAATGCAAGCGTAAGTACTAGTTAACTTGTTTTACTACAAGTTTAATTTGTTTTAGGGTAGTTTCCTAAATTTTATTTGAATGTCCGTCTGGTACATTCATTTAAAAACTTTAGACACGTATTTTTTCTTTTCTCACAAAATTAAATACTTTCGACGATATATTAATTTGAAATATCGTGTGACGTCACAGCGTGTCACATTTTGTTGCACTTTGTGACGTAACTACTAAACTTAGCGCCATTTTATCTAAGTATTGCAAATTAATACGAGAAAATAAAATAATACGTGTCCAATATTGTTTCATTATCTAACTGACGGACTAATTAGATTTTTAATTTTGATACCCTGGAAACTACCCAATTTCAAAGACGTTTTTTCCTGCTCTTGTAACGATTAAATGCTTATGATGACGGTGAATTACAGTGCCAATAATTGTCAATATCATTGATTGCTTATTAAAAATTAGCAGCACTGCAGCGCTCTCTACAATTACTAATCATAGCAAGCTACAAAAGACAGTCAAAAGACTCTACTCTAAAGACAGTACATAAGGATAGTATATAAATTAGTATATATATACATAAGGATAATATATATTATTCTAGAAATACGGTATTTTCCTGTAGAACACCTAATCATACCGAAAAACCTAAAAATTATACTGAAGACATGGTATTTTAGTCTCAAACCCTATTTAGTATACACCCAATAAACAGAACACCCGCATAATGTTACCATTATCAATTCCAGCTGCACAGTGAATCAGCGGCCTGCGAGTCGGAGGTGTCAGTGGCAGTGTTCCCGATCTCCATGTCCATGGGGGCTGTGTTCGCCCTCACATACCTCGCCATAGGGTTCCTCATCAACAAGGTTGGCAAGAAAACGTTATACAGTAAGTTTTATTAAAGTTTTATTTCGATAAATTAATTTATTAATTAATTAAGTGCCCTCTGTTGAGGCCAAAGGCCCCTTCGCACATGGAGAAGATTTGAGTATTAATCAGCACATTTGCTTAAGGTACATAAGCGATTATGAACTTATAATTAGAAAATCTTTGGAACTGTAAAAAACGGCAGTTCTTTGAATTTTGTATGAGATTGTGTATTGTGACATCACGTTTTTTGGTCTCAAACCGCATCTTTATTTCTTAAAAATTTGCTGGAAAAGTACTAAAGCTGGTCATAATTTTCATCAAATCAAAACACTTTCATTAATTGATATTAATGAAAGTGTGATTGTTTTTTAACATTTTATTGTATTGAATTATTTTGATTAAGGCAAGTACCTAATTGCAGGTCCAAGTGGCCTTACAATTTTCTTACACTTAACATATAAATTAATTCGTTTTTAGTAAAATTTACTGAGGTGTGTATCAAGTGGGTTTCTTTCTGTTGTCCAGTATTTTTGTGCCGTTTGAGACTAGAATCATTTTGTCTCCTGCAATAAAAACACCGAGGCAAGTGGAAATTATTCGTTTTCTTCTCTAGTTTTATCTATTTTCTGATTTATTTCGTTATGGGAAAATAGATACAAGATCGAAAATATATTAGAAGTTACTCATGTACCTGGAACGAGCCGGACTTAACAATTTCGGTTTTTTCAGGGTCGTATTTGTATCTATAGTAGATTTCGGTTCTGGGAAGTATTGGTCTCTTTCAATAAAAGTAGTTTTAAAAAAGTCCGACTGAAATAAGAATAAAAAAAATTAACTCACAACTTTGCTATTTAACATTTTCCATAATCAGAATTATGAAAAACCGATTTCCATTCCCGAATAATTGACCTTCTGAATACCCGATTTTTTAATATTTTTGCTAATTAATGTTCTCTTATTCAGTATAGGTTTTATGCTGTTCCAAATTACCTGCTCTTCTTACTGTTTTCAAAGCTGTCGGCTCTGACCCAAAATTAACTGTGTAAAACCGGAAAAGTACATACATAATCATTACGTCCACCTTCTAATTGAATCGGCAGAGGTAATAGAAAGAAAAATTATTAAATTATGTCATAATTCAATTACTTATTCATCAATAAAATATTAAGTAGCAATATGAATAAGTAGGTACACGAGTTGTCTACGCGCTCGATAGATGGCGTTGTACAATTCCATAGTTTTCCTGAATCGCGCTATGGTTTCGTTACATGCGTTTGGTTGGGGTCTGCCGCGGTCGACCTGAGTTAGTTAGGAGTCGAGAAATCGGCGCCCCTATGGGACTAATAACATAACTGGTATTTTTTGAATAAACTCGTGGCTGAAAAGCTACTGAGTTTTATTATACTTGAAAATTATTGTTTAAATTTGATAATTCTACATTATTATTTATTAGTACTGAAGTTGGACACTAGATGGCGTCCGCGTTCGACGAATGTGGGGCCTTCTGAGGCAAAGAACAACGAGGTAGATTAAATTAATACATAATTGAATAGAAATTTTATATTATTTTCTATTATTTCCCTTGATCATCAAATTATAATTATAGTTTGTTTTGTCGTCCTGCATTCCTGGCGTCTTCAAAATAGAAATGAATTTCAATATTGCATACATATTTCTAAGAAGCTGAACATTTTCATGAACGATGTGAGAGACTAACAAGTTAATCATCATCATAAAGTCACGCCATTTTATCTTTGAAGTGATAGGCAGAGCGCAATATTATATGAATAAAAAAAGTATGTAATACAACAATATTATACATATTTGTTTATTCTAGGTGGTATAATGTTTATCTGTGGCATCGCGACGATTGGAGCAGCGTTCGTACCCGAGGGTATAGCGGCGACGGTGCTGCTCATCATCAGCCTGTGCTCAGGGTGTGCGGCCTCCATCCTGGCGGCTATTGCCGTCGATGTGTTCCCTACGCAGTTGAGGTTAGTAGCCTTTTTTTAAGGGGGGAAAATCATGGAATGACTGCTCCCGCCTGGGTGAGGCGGGAGAGAGTGTCAGACTTACTGACTAAAAACCACCCCGTTCCTACTCCTGCACTTCGAGCCGGAGCCCCGGCAACCCGTTAGGTTCTCTGCGACAGGTTAGTAGCCTTGGAGGTGGGAAGTGGTGGGATGGTAGGTAATCATGGTGTTAAGATAGAAAAAATATTATAAAAATCTGAGCTTTCACATTGGAATCAAGAACAGCGGTTTTAGATTTCATTTTCGGCTGCTAAATACGACTGAACTTAAAATCTTATTGAACTGGTGAGTTTGTTGTATGTTTGTTACTTAATAACTCCCAAATGGCTGAAGGGAGCGGGATAAAACTTGCGACCACTCGGCCAACGAGGCAGTCATATTTTCAAATCTCTTCATACTAGCTAATTCCGCGCGGTTTCACACGCTCTGCTCAACTCCTATTTGTCATAGCGTGATGTTTTATAGCCTATAGCCATCCTCGATAAATGCACTATCCAACACAAAAAGAATGATTAAAATCAGACTTGTAGTTACGGAGATTAGCGCATTCAAACAAACAAACAAAAAAACAAACTCTTCCGCTTTAAATAATAGTATATGATTATTCACAGGGCTATGGCGATGTGTGTGATGTACATGGTGGGCCGGACGGGTGCAGCTGTCGGCTCCAACTTCCTGGGGGCCACTCTAGACCTGCACTGCCACGAGGCCTTCGCTGCTTTCGGAGTCTTTACTGCTGGTGAGATAAATATAATTGGAAACATTTTCTTCTTGCTAAGTTGTTATTGCAATCTGATGCCGTGGTTAGGGGATACGCATTTTTTTTTTTTATATTTGATGGGGCGACGTTTGACCACTATCTCACCTGATGGTAAGCGATGATGCGGTCAACGATGGAGCACGTCGTCCCATAAGCAACCTATTCACTCGGGCCTTGAAGACTCCCAGGAACAACAGTATGTACCTATTAGCCACGTTTTGGATATGTATGGTCATTGAAACTGTTTTATTTCCATTAAATTTTACCACTGTTGTAAAGTAATTACCAGAAAAAGTTCTAGTCAAGTGTTTTTCCGTGAAATCTTGTTAACCAATTGAACCATTATTGCATCAGAAGATTTGCCTTGTTAATTTTTAAGTGGCATTGAAATGTGAAATGCTAATGGTAAGGTGAGTACTATAAATTATTCTTTTTCGTTCCAGGATCAACAATTCTTATGATCTTCTGGCCAGATCCTAGGCAAGTGAGACAACAACTTGAAGAGAAAGGATTCACATACTAATTCTATGACGTCATAGCATAGGTTTAGGTACCAAATTACCTAATTTACAAGTTCCAAAAAGAGACTGATCTTATAGAACGCTGTTTATAACAACGCAACTGTAACATTTGTTACATTAATGAGGCATTTAGATGATTTATAATAGTAATAATTAATTGTAATTATTAGCATAACTAAATAAATTGATTTACATAATTATTAAACAAATTAATTATTGGTTTTATTTTACCTACAAATTTAAGTGCAGCGCCATCTATTGAAATTGTTTTGAATTAGTGACTACCTACACTTTGAAACTCGTGATGTAGTTTACAAACAGATTTAGTAGATAGCGCCACTAACCCTTTTTCAGTAACTTGAGAGCTAAAACTTGTAAGGATAAGAAATATAATATATTAAAAGAATTTAACTGATATTAACGCCATTTCAAATAAATTAAAATTAGATTTTTCTTACCAACTTCATGAAATTTACATACCTACTGTTCCTGCAATAAGAGGCAACCAGTTTGAGTACCTACTAAGCTTAGCAAGAATTACATAATTATATTTTAGTACCTTAAACATTATAAGCACTATAGATAAGTATCTATCTTAAGTAAGAACACGTTCCCTCGGCTAACCAGAAAGGGGACAAAAGCCGATCCAGATTTTAATCTCAAAATAATTACTTTCACATATTTTAACCCCCAAGTGTCAAAATCAAAACCGTCAAGGGTATCCGAAAGGGTCAAAATAAGGTGAAAAATGTTTTGTCATTATTTATCCATTTAGATAATGTTGATCCGTTAGTCGTTCATCAAAATCGGCGTCTGCGCAACCCGTTGACACGTTTTTGTCGCCCTTGTTAAGGGGTTGAAAAAAAATTAAGTGGAGCGTCTAAAATTCTTTGTTGGCGCCGGGAACTGCGAAATAATGGACTTTGTATGATGACCCTTCCAAGATAGACCATCATTTACCAAGTGTAGGAGAGCCATGCTTCGGCACGAATGGGCTGGTTCCACCGGAGTGATACCACGGACTTATATAAAACCGACGTGAAACAATACATGCATTGTGTTTCATCATGAGAGTGGGGTTATCGGAGGCCCAATTAAACTGTCAAACACCGCGAGGACACCGGTGACCGCAACCTATTGTTCTTTAATTGTGTCTACGGTACTCAAAGGGTTAATTTGATTTGATTTGTATTAATCGAAGTAATCACACATGAAATCAATGCATCTTAGCCAACGCAGCGGCAGTTTATTGATGCCCTTCTTAAAGAAATCAGCTGGACGGGAAGCACCAGATTCTTGAAAGTAATTTTGTGCTGCCTCTCGGGTATTGAATCTTTATCCTGCCAAGAAGTCATCCAAATTCTGGAACAAGTTCCTAGTTTTTGGTCTGGTAAGTAGGGTGGATGACGGAGAACTTCCAAACCCAGTTCTTGCAACTTGGAGACAGACTGCTGTGCAGTATGAGGTCGCGCGTTAAGGTGGGTTATTATTAATGAAAGTAATAGGTAAATGAGAACTAACTAACTAACTATAAACTATTTGTGACCAATCCAGCTCTTCCTATAGATGTCTTAAGAACACATTTTTGAGACATAAACAGTATCTCTGGTTTATGTTGACCAAACGTGGGCCCATCAAATTTTAAAAAAAATCAGGACAAAAGCGTTTTATAGTGATTTCTAATCCATCATTACGTAGTCTACGTAGGCTCCTGCTTCATGGTCCAGCAGTGATGAGCTCCACCGCTATCGCTACCAAAGAACAAATAGCAGCATCCTCAATTTTTTTGCTGACCTAACAACGATCTTCAAGTAATCCTAAAGCCACCGAATTAGAATACCTGGTCACTTACTCACTAACTAATCTCATCAGGTGATCCGTCTGCTAGTTTATCGGTTTATGCTATAAAAAGAAATCCACGCAATACGGATGCAATGGGCGCTAGTGTTGCAACTCTAAAATACGAATTTTCACAATATCAATGTCGATCGATCGGAATTAGATTCAAGAGTAAGCTCCCTGGTGTTTGTTCAGCTGTGGAAATTTGGAGTCGCCGTCCAGTTGATGATGACGATGAAAATGAATTTATAAACACTAAGTACTTTCTTCTTCCTAAACTATTGTTCATCCGTATCAAATACTTCGTTTCCATATTCTACACACATCCTAATCTTCCCACAAACCGTGTCGGCTTGCTATTTCCAAAAAAAACACTAGTCTAATCACCCGAATCCGTCTCGTTTCCCCAAAAATGTTTTGATAGAGTATTTTATGACAAAATAATAGACAGAGTATCACTGTTGTAAAAAATGGTCGAATTATTTTTGGAAAAAAATCTTTGAGCGCAGACGCAGGTAGTGGTGTGTTCGTGTGGCATTGTTCTTACAGGGGTCGGGATTTGTTCTCTGATCGGGGGTTGATTGCGAAAAGATTTACTTAGGAATTCTTTAAGAATAGTTTTTAAAAGTAGGTAACCTAACATTTAGGTAAAAATAAAAGTAAGATCTTACAACAAGCATGCGTTAGATCTATATAATGTATATAAAAGAAAGTCGTGTTAGTTACACTATTTATAACTCAAGAACGCCTCAATCGATTTAGATGAAAATTGGCAGGGAGGTAGCTTAGAACCAGGAGACGGACATAGGATGCTTATTTATAGAATACTTTTACTTACGGGGGGAAAATGGGATTGCGCGTACGAAGTCGCGGGCAGAAGCTAGTTTTTTATAAAGAGAAGTTTTAGTAAAGAATTGGATTGATTACTATTTGCTTGCGAGATAGGAGTTAAATGAAAATTTAAACAGTTTAATACCTATTTTGCAGACGTATAAGATGAGTATACAACTTAAGTACATATATATTTTCGTTATTGACTATACTTTTCCGACACGCAGTGGGCAACACAAGAAACTCTTACAACAATAATTCAAACGGGATCTACAAGTTTCTGTCGAACACGAGCCACTGCAAAAACCCTATCAATATCGGACCTAAAACAATAATTTTATCAATTTCACCATAGCTATTTGAACCCCATAACGTCCCCATACACCGCACATATGTTGCCAACGGTTCGTGGTGGCTAATTAAAATTGTTGAACATACACCATGGGGTACAACCCCTACTTGTGACTTACCGTTTGACCTCGAAATTACCCCTGTTTATTCAGTTTGTAGTGTCATTTTGACCTTATTTATATGCGTTTTATAGTTATCTTTAACTTTCTCTTTGAGTATTTTCCTTTTTTCAAGTCTTCTCTTTTGTTTTACTCCAGATGGTTGACCAGGTTTTTTAATAAAGCTTAAGTTCTCTAATAGGCCTCAGCTGTAGCCAAATGCCATTTAGCGCTTGTCTACTTGTAGAGTAGAAGACGAAATTATATGGAATTGACGTAAATTTTAACACTTGTCAGTGTCATAGCCATACATTTAGTTTTCTACTCTCTCTGTAAACAAGTGCTAAAGTGGCGTTTGGCTAAAGGTATCGTTTACATTGCTACGTAGACCTTAATTAAAAAAAAGTCAAATAAAAAAATAGTTTTCTATCGTGCATTTATCTGAACTATCTATAAATGTGTTATTACGCCATTTAAGTTCGATATTCAGTAAAGTCTTAATGGGATTGCTGCAATCACAAGATTGATCTTCTATTCTTTTTAGAACTTTTGTTTATGTGTACCAAGTCTATAATATGCTCAATTTCAATAGAACTAGACTGTCAACAGTCAATTACTACAAACTTAATAAACTTAATTAAAGACTCCTGAGTTTATTTCGGCATTTTTTCTCAGGGTAGTTAGTTAGGAAATGTCGACAACATCGTTCGCTTGATAAAATTGACGTGAAAAGTGCTGCCTTTTAGCCTATTTGCAGAAATAAATTCACTTGTTTCACTTGTTAATTTGGGAAAATTTCCTAAACTCAAAGCCTCACTTTCCAAAAAAAAAAACACTTGCAATTTTCCAGAACAGGTGATCACTTCAGACTCCTTTTAACAAAAGATAAACAAAACAGTGTCCGATCTGCCGCCGCCCTACAAATCGGTTGATACAATATTGGTTACAAAAACTCCGTAGCACGTGCACTCTCAGGTGGGCGACACGTGGTAACCGCCGCACCATATGTCACTGGTTCGACTCCCAGTGTAAAAGGTTTCTGGAAAATTGTTCTGGTGAACCAATGAACATATTACTTAATTTTGAAAGAGGTATGAAGTGTTGAAGTAGCTTTGATATCTGTTGAATTTGCGTTGACTTAAATTAATCCATTAATTAATGCCGATAAGAAATTCTGACTTAATCGTCAACTGGCGAGCGCGAATCTCGCGAGCGCGCGCGAGTTGGCACTTTTCGATTTTGCCTACTTTTTTTGTCGTCAACTCGCGCGTCTATATAATTTGATGTTTTAATGTATAGTCAGCTACAAAAGCGTTATAACAAATTTAATTTAGTTAGGTACTTACCTACTATAAATGTATAAGAAACTTTATGAAATTTGATTTTTAAAATAAAACAAAATATACATCGTTTTGAAATCAGTTTATCAACAGGACAAAATATAAATTATTAGTAGTATTTCCCTTACTAATTATCAACAATATCACATTGATTTGAGAATTTGGCTTATTATCTTATTATCTAGTATGTAAATTGTAAAAAACTAAGTAAATAAAATAGAAACAACGAAAACACTCCCCTCACATACTCGTATACAAAATTATATGTGAGGAGATTTTCGATAAATCTCATAATATAAATAATTTAAACCGTACTGAATATTGGTAAATATAAAATAGTAAAGCTAAACATAGTAATTGACAACAAACTGACTTATTATTGCTCACTAATAAAATCAATCTTAGGAACCATAGAAAGAGTCTTAGAAACTATAAAATCACAGATCAGATATGGTTGTAAATGATTTTTACAAAAAACGCTAAACACTATCAATAAGTAGATTCATCAATTGGCTAAGTTATTACTGACGACCTACTAATAAA